CAGCAGCAGCAGCAGCAGCAGCAGCACATGCAGAGTCGGCGCATGCGAAAGAAGCACACAGGTCCTCAAGGCTCCAGCAGCCGAGCTGCGCAAGCTGCTGGCGCCCTCGCGGCCGCTGCAGCCTCCCAGCAGCAGCAGCAGCAGCAGCAGCAGCAGCTGGCGGCGCCGCCGGCTGCTGCTGCAGACCCCCCTGAGGCTGCCTGCAAAGAGGGAAGGGCAGCAGCGGCGCTGAGGGCTGCGGGCTTTGTGGTGAGTGACTTCGGGCTGAGCAGCAGCAGCGCGAGGCGTGGCTGGCGGCAGCAGCAGCAGCAGCAGCAGAGGGAGTCTCTGAAGGCTGTAGAGCTTCAAAATGCGTTTTTTTACTGCAACAATCCGCAAAAAGGCAGCAGCAGCAGCTTCCCCGCGGGGGAGGCTGCTGTTGCTCTCGATTGGACTCACTCCTGCGCGCTTTTTCGGGGGCAACCGGCAACAGCGGCGAACTTCTGGAAAAAGTTATTGACACAGACAGATTGAAGTCTTTTTTGATCTTTTAAATTCGAAATTACTCCAAAAGAACCTTTCTAGCAGCAGCTCGCGGCTCGGCAGCAGCTGCAGCGCAGCAGCTCGCCTTGGCCATCGTCAGCAGCCCAGGGGGGCCCCAAGGAAAGCCAGGCGGGCAAATTTCGCGTTTTGGAGTTCAAAACTTGTTTTTTGTTTTTATTTTACTTTAATTTTTGTTTTGCAGCAGATTAAGCCGCTCGGGGCGCACATTGCGTGCCCGCGGAGCCCAGTGGACCGCTGCGCCGGCTCGTTGCCGAAAGCAGTGCAAGTCCAGCGCTAGACTTTGCAGTTCGCGAGAACAACTGGAAAATAAAAGGATAAAAGGACATTTAAGACAAAATGAAACTCAGTTGCAGCCATTTGCAGCTCAATGGCCTCCAAAAATCCCCTTTCTGCTTTCGTGGCACTCAGCGAAGAGGCGGGGAAGAGAAAACTGAAACTTGCAAAGCGTTCATGTGTACGTACACCGCAAGCTGAAAGCGCCAAACCCTCGCCAGCCAGCGCCAGACAGCGGACAGTCTTTTTTCAATTCAGATTTTCTTCTTTGCTTTTGCGAGCTAGCTGAAGAGAAGCAAATAGGGCCTTTCAAGTGGGCCTAACTGGCGCAGCAGCTGCTGCTCCGGGCTTTCAAGTTCCCCCTCTTTTGCTGTCTTGCTGCAGCGGCTGGGGCTGCTGCAGCGGGAGGAATGCTGGGGATTTGCAGGGCTTTCGAGGCAGCAAAAGGATCCTCAAACGGAAAAAGAAAAACATTTCAGACCTAAAATGCATTTAAATGAACTTCAAATCCAAAACTGACGAAATGGCTTTCGTGGAAAAACGCGCGAGGCCCGAGGCGTTCCCTGAGGTGTCGATACACCGCAGATGCACAGCACTGACTTCAGAAATGAACCTCTTAGGAATTAAAATAAAATGAAATCAAATTTAGGGAAAATAAAATAAAATTAAATAAATAAAACAAAATCTAATCAAATCAAATTTAACTGAATAAAAAGATGAAGACAAAGTTAAAATCTAAGTCTCAGAGAATTGCCAAAAGTTTCTCTTTTTGAATTTTCATTTCTGCATGCGTTTTGCCAATTGGGCCAACTTTTCGAAAAGCCATAATTCAGTATTTGAAAAAATTTTCAAATAAATCTTTTCAAAGTTTGAACTCTAAATGTAAATCAAGTTGTCTCTTATGGGCCTGGCAAGCTGCGCTGCTGCTGCTGCTGCTGCTAGCTAGCTGCTACGGGCTTGGCCAGCTCGCTAGCTAGCTAGCTAAGTTGTGCTCTTCATGGTTTAACTAGCTAGCTACCTAGCTAGCTAGCTAGCTAGCTTGCGCTCCTCCGGGCCTTAGCCAGCCAGCTAGCTAGCTAGCTGGCTCGTGCTGTTCGTGGCTTAGCTTGTCTAGTTGGCTTGTGCTGCCCCTGGGTTAGCTAGCTGTCCAGCTAGCTAGCTAGCTAGCTAGCTAGCTAGCCAGCTTGCGCTCCTCCGGGATTAGCTAGCTAGCTAGTTTGTGCTGTTCTATTGTGTCTTTTTTAATTTAAAAAAGCGTGAAAAGACTTTTCAAACTTTTTTATTTTTAAATTCAACGAGACCCGCAGCCAGCGCCTCTCGGAGCCTCGGGGCCGCATGAGAGATCAGAAGCTGCAGAAAAAAGAAATACGGCGTTAAAAGGAAAATAGAAAAGGAATATTAAGGAATAAATAAAAAAGATTGTTTGAAATGAATTAAAAATGAAAAGTGGAAACAGCAGTGGCGCTCGGGTGGTGGTACAGACACCAGGAGCACATGCGCGTACACCTGAAAATTCTCAAGACACGGTGGGTTTCTTCTGCGCAGCCAGTTCTCCGGAAAGCGGGACTTTTTGTGGAACAAATGATCGAAATTAATTTAACATAAACATTAAAGAAGTTTGAAACATTGCAGAAAGAAAGAAAATGCATTTATCCGGGGATTTCTCAAGCATCCGGGGGTCTTGGGCGCGTCTGCAGCGGCAGTCGGCTGCTGCTGGAACTGCAGCTGCTTCCGCCAACTCTTGCGTAAAAACAACTTCTAAAAGTCTATTAATGCAACTTGAATTAACAAATGCAAATTGAATGAATAAATGCAAATTGAATAAACAAATTTGAAATAAATGACGCAGCAGGCCCCGCGGCGTTGATGGCCGCAGCCGAACCACTGTGCGGCGCTGGACAGGGGGCGCGGCGGCGCTCAAGATTTTCCGGCAGCAGCAGTTAATCCCCGTGAAATGGACTTAAAAATGATTAATTAAATGCATTTAGTGCTTTAGATTGGCGCAACAAAGGGAATATCTTCAGAGGCGAGTGGCGGGTTGCCGCAGCTCTCACTGGTTCGGCGGACACGCCGAAGCCCCTCCCGCCGACGCCCTGCTGCGGCCTGCGCTGAAACTTCCTGCTTTGCTTTCTTTTCAAATTGAATTTGTTTGACTCTTTTAAGGAGAAGATCGCGGCGCTGCGAGTTCTGCTTCGCGAGTTGCAGCACCTGAACGCCGCGTTTTGCAAAAGCCGCCGCCGCCGCGCCTCCACCGGCGCTCTCCCGCGGGATAACTGGCATTAAAACCCTTTATTAAATGCAAAAATGAGTCATCTCTTCCAGCCTTTTTCCCTGGGTGAGGCTGCGGTGTATTTACTCCGTATTCCGCAGCTTTCCGTTTCCCGCGTTTGGGTGTATGCGCAGCTCCCGACGCGTCCGCTGCCGCCGCTGCGCCGAACCACCAACACTTTTCCAAATCTGCTGCTTATAATGCAAAACTTAATCAATTTTAGCACTTATTAGAAGTTTTTCTTCCCGAAAAGTCCCAAGACAATGGGCGGACGCGGCTTATCTGTTCGCTCCGCCCCCCAGGAGCATTCCGAAACCGCAAAGCCCAAAACCGGAATCCGGAGCTGAATCGCGCGACTCCCGTCTCATTTTTGCCAAATTAAATTCAAAATTTTCATTTATTTCCATTTTGGCAGCAGCAGAGAGCTGCGGGTGCTCCATTTTCGCGTCTTTTTCGCTTTTCTGAATTCAATTCAACTTCTCGCGCTGCTGCGTTCTGCTTCTCTCCGCATGCAGGGACCAATGAAACCATCGAAGATGCGTTCATTGCGCCCCCAGACAACATTCAGGAAAGCAGAGATGCTATGGAGGAAGTCGAAAGGTAAAGCAGCAGCAGCAGCACAAGCAGCAGCAGAAGCTGCAGCGGCAGCAGCAGCAGCAGAAGCTGCAGCGGCAGGAAACGACGGTGAACTGCACCTGCAGCAGCAGCATTAACAGTGGCAGCAGCACCAACACCACTACCAGCAGTAGAAGGAGAAACGGCATTAACAGCAGCAGCAGCAGCAACATGAACAGCAGCAGCAGCAGCAACGGCATTAGCAGCAGCAGAAGCACGAAAAGCCGCAGCAGCAGCGTAACGAGCCTGCGCAGCAGCAGAAGCAGCACTGTTTGTTTGAATATCGTTGAATTAAATAAGCCAATAATTAATCAATTAATTAATTTTAAATTTATTTAATTTAATTTCTTTTTCTTTAATTTCCTTTTCATTTTGCTGCTCTTTGCACAGACGTCTCCTTTATGACGATTTCCAAAAATGCGGAATTTTGCCAGAGTCCATTTTGACTCTTTCGGATCTTCTCACCCGCCTCCGGGTTTGCTGCTGCTGCTGCTGCTGCTGCTACTGCTGCTGTCACTCCCACTTCTTCGACTGCTGCTGCTGCTGCTGCTGTTCGTGCTGCTGCTGCTGTTCCTGCTGCTACTGCTGCCGCTACTGCTGCTGCTGCTACTGCTGCTGCTACAGCTGTTGCTGCTGCTGGTGCTACAGCTCCTGCTGCAGCAGCAGCTCCTGCTGCAGCAGCAGCTGCTGCTGCTGCTGCTGCTGCTGCTGCTGCAGACTTCGAACCGGCAGTACGACGAGGAAATGCTGCGTCGGATTTACGCAGCTCTTTCTTCTTTCAAAGGCTATCGAGAGCCCCACATCACCGGCCGCGTCTTTCTAGAGGCCTACATGAAGCGGGTACGAGCAGCAGCAGCAGCAGCAGCAGCAGCAGCAGCAGCAGCAGCAGCAGCAGCAGCGGCAGCGGTTTTGTGAACGTTGGTCTGGAGGGCAATGACAGTTTTGCCGCCGAATGTTGGGGGGAGGAAAGGGGCTGCTGCGGGGCCTTCGAGGTGTACAGACAGCTCTGTGCTGCTGCTGCTGCTGCTGCTGCTGCTGCTGCTGCAGCGCCGCGAGCTGCTGGCAGTTTTGGAGTCCGCAAGGGCTGAATTAGACAGCGCGGAAATGATGCTGCAGCAAGCCGAAAGCCACCTGGCGGCCTTGGCCCTAGACCCAAACGCTGCTGCAGTGAGCCACCTGCTGCTGCTGCTGCTGCTGCTGCTGCTGCTGCTGCTGCTGCTGCTGCTGCTGCTGCTGCTGCTGCTGCTGCTGCTGCTTTGCCGTTCGGGCTGTTTGTTGTTGCGGGCTCTGTGCTGCTTGCTTGTTCCTCCCTCTCTCTGGCACCCTGTTCTTCCCGCAGCAGCAGCTGCTGCCGCTGCTGCTGCTGCTGCTGCTCCTCTGCTGCTGCTGCTGCTGCAGGTTCTTTTAGTCCGCAGGATGTGTTTTAAATGCCTCGAATTTGATTAATTGATTTAAATGTTTTGATTTAAACGTTTTGATTTAAATGTTTTGATTTAAATGTTTTGATTTAAATTCAGACAGAAGACAGCAAATTAACTGTGCAAGTTGTGGCGCTGCAAAACCTAGATGTTGGAACTCCAGCAGCAGCAGAAGGAGGTAACAGCTTTATTTATTTATTTTGAATTTATTTTATTTTATTTATTTTGTTTAATTTATTTAGTTTAATTTAATTTAGTTTAATTTAATTTAATTTAATTTTGTTTAATTCAATTTTGTTTATTTTCTTTTTTATCTTTTGCCTTCGGATTTAATCTTTTGTTTCTCTACCTCCCTTTTGTTGTTTTTCTTTTTTCCATTTTACACTTTTTCTTTTATTTTGAATCTGTTTTATTTTTAATTTGTTTTATTTTTAATTCGTTTTATTCTTACTTTATTTTGTTTTTATTTATTTTGTTTTCATTTATTTTGTTTTCATGTATTTTGTTCTAATTTGTTTTCGTTTCTCCTTTTAATCTGATTTCATTTCCTTTTATTCTTCTTTTCATTTTATTTCTTTTCCTCCTTCTTTTCCAATCAAATCAAACCAAACTAAATCAAATTGAACCAAATTAAATCAAACTAAATCAAATCAAACTAAATTAAATCAAATGACTCACACCAATTAAACAAACTCAAACCAAACAAACCAAACTCCTTTCTTTTCTTTTCAGATTTATTTAAAGTCCATTTAGATTGCGAACAACAAGTCATTGAAACTTCCGTCGTTTCCATGACCAATGGTCACTGCCACTTCAACGAAGTCTTTTCATTCGAACTGCCCCCTTGGGGGGCCCCCTGGGGGCCCCCCGGGGGCCCCCCGGGGGCCCCTAGGGGCCCCCCGGGGGGCCCCGGGGGG